TTTTAGAACAATTACGTTCTTAGAAGCAGTTGTTGAAGAAAGTTGATATATTATATTTTTAGGAGAGGCAAATTTAAGGCAATATATAATTTTTCGTGTGTGCATTAATACTAATTATTTTATACCCGCAAATTCAAGGGCACACATACAAAGTTGCGCATAAATTCGATCAGCGAAATGAACTACAAAACTGATAAAAAAATTCGCGCAGGTTTCCTCTCTCGTTTCATTAACTGTACTTCCGTTTCGGATAAGGACATGCCACGGACGATTTCGGAATACCTGAACGAAAACGTTTTAATGGTAACACAACCGAGACTGTTTCAAACGTGTGTTCCACTTTACGGAGTCTTTTATGGACGTCGCATAACGCTCTCCGTTTCCTTGTTTGCATACTTATTTTGGTGGACTCGGGAATTTCGATGTACTCACCTCTTCTGCTATTCCCGTCATGATCCCCCTTCAAAGCCAGAACTGTGTTAAATAAGCACAAACTCACTATTATCCCGAACTTCATTTTACAACAAAATTTGAACCAACAGTTAAATATCTGAACTATCAATTATTGCGACTTATTATCATCTTGTGCGGGTACCTGTTAGTGGGTTAACTAACTAGTCGATGTCGTTGGGTCTGGTGGTACCGGGTCAAGTCTACAGATTCTTTTCGCGAACGTCTATGGGACAGACACACACATGAGGTGGTGTAGAATTGTCGGTGACTAGCCGGTACAGACTGAAGACTTGTGTGCAGTTGGTCTGTCGGGCAGCAGAACATCCCAAGTAGGTCACTGGGACACCGTAGCGGTCTTCCTCGAGTGCCTCGAGTCCCCTCCTGATGGTACCGTTTGTACACTGAGATTAATTTTTGTTGGTTTTAAACAGTACAGATGAACGTTGTCGGTTGCGTTGGTTACTAGAATTTTTACTTCATTTCTTCTGCTTCTTTAAATTCAGAATTTCCTCTAGTTTGTTCATTGACATCATCAGTTCGTATTTTTTTCACCAAATTATTTTCTATTGTCCTAATTTGCACCTATTTTGTTAAATGTGCTTATTATTTTTGTATCTCTTTATTTGGCCATTTTGCCCTCTGCGTTCTAGTAGAACAACCCCAGGTTCGATTGAAAAAAAAAGAAATATAAACGTAGTTGTGGCCAAAAATATGTGATCGTCATAAGGAATCCCTACGTTGTGTGTATTTATTTTTTTTATTGACCGGAAAGCGCTGGCTACTAACTTTTTTTGAGGGGATGTATGGTTTAATTTTATAAAAACGAAAGCAGAGTAAATACACCTAACTTTATTATTGTACAACAATCTTCAAATTAAACATGTGACAAATAGAAAGAACAACAAAAACATTAACAACCATTTAACATGGAATGAGAGTGCCAGGCTCACCTAGAGCTCCTGCGGGGAAAGAGCATGGCAGAGAAACCCACGATCTTTGCTCTTACCACCCAAATATAAATACAAAACAACCACTAACCAAAGGCATAAATTAAGAAACTTTGCTAATGATAAATAAGACCTGTCTCATTTAATGTGTCACTAAATGTCATCTGTTACCTCATATTAGTCATACACACTCCTAAGCAAAACTGAAGAGGTTTGGTGTTAGTTAGCCGGCAGAGCCGGAAGGTACTGGAGTCCCATACGGGGGCAATCCAGCTAAAGTTGAGATATCGGAAGATCCTTCATAACACTGGAGTCCCATACGGGAGGCAATCGAGCTTAATCCAGATTCGTTCCGCACGGGCGAAAATGTAAGTAAACCCAAAAAGGCTCGTATAGACGTATGACATAAAGTGAGCACAAGAAATCAAAGAACATAATCATGAAAAACAAGTTAAATGTAAAGAAGTCGTTATTGCAATATCTGGGCGGTCACGACAAAATACATATTTAAACGTGCAATAAATAATGAACAATCTTTAATAATAATTGTAACAATGTTATATTAGAAAAATATACGCCCCTGAGCGTAAGACAATGAAGGCTAAACATATACAAAACCATTATCATGAAACATCTAGGTTTTTCGAACAACGTTATCATGACAAAAACAAGTTAGATATAGAACAAAGGAGTCATTATTGTAAAGTCGGGGCGCCCACGATAATATATATTTAACATGAAATAAATAATGAGCAATCGCTAATAATAAGTATAACAATTTTACCTTAGAAAAATATATGCCCTTGAGCATAAAGCAATGGAAGCTAAATATACAAAGAATTATTATCATGAAACATCTATAAACATCACAATGATAAGATTACATAGAACAATTAACAACAAAGTACTTAAAGGTTATGACCTGCTAATTAATAACACTTTAAACAATTAACTTTTCACTACTTTGACACACTGTCCGCCGATCGTCTTGTTACCTATCTGCACACTGTTCTCACTTCAACTGCCTATCTTCAACTCCCTAGGCTTCCTTCCAGAATTCCCTACCTAAACGTTAGTTTTTGCGCTTTCTTTTACCAACTGTCAATATTACTTTTTCATTATTATACAACATCCATATAACAGGTGACGTCGAAGTTGATAAGATAAGTACGGTTTTGCACAGCGTCAATAAATCATTCAAACTTTATTTTATGAAACTATGTTGGCCTAGCCAAAAAGTTTCACTGAAAAGAGCTGTCAAAGAATATACATTATGCACTTCAATTAGTTAATGTTTAAAAAACAATCTGTTTTGCTCTCAGAATTTGCTTCCATAGCTAGAGATATTGTAAAATCAACCAGTTGACTGATTTTTTTTATGCAAGGGGTTCGTTATCTAAAATTTTCAATTTATTTCTATTCATTTCATTCATAATGTATGCTATAAGTCAAAAAACTGGGCTAGAAATCGAAGTTTGCAAGAAATGAATAGAATCATGGAAAATTTGGTATGTAGGGGTTTCCGATTAATGCTATTTGGGCCCGTGGGGTTTTTAGGTTCGTTAATCATGAATTTGAATTCAGAATTGCAAAATTCAATATGGCGGATCCAATATGGCTGACAAGAATTTCGAAAAATCAACAGATTAATCCAGAATTGGATCCTGGGGGGGTCTTGGGGGTTGCTGTATGATTACTAAAGGTCGATAAAGGTGGAAAGTTGGATTCAGATTACATACATATAGCTATGCTAAGAAATGTGAAAAAAACATTTTTTTGTTGATTTTGTCTCAGATATTTCTTCGTCTATTTTTGCTATTTTTGACTTATTTTTTGAGGTTAGAAAAAAGTGTGACGTGTTAGCGCAATTCTGACAGTGGAGACGGATCGGTGCATAAAAATATTACAGGATATACCTGTCTGGTCAAAACCATATAACATTATTTTTGTGTGGCTGTGTTATTGGAAGATGTTTTTGACAAAAAAGCCTGTAAAGTATTAGGTGTCTGAAAAAATGTTCTATTGTTAAATCATAGTATAGAAATAATACGAAATTTTCATTGTATACGTAATTTCTTTTGGTTGACATACAAAATTTGTTTCATTTTCAATATTCTTAAAAACACTATCAACGAAATTCCTAGGTGCCAGGTGTTAGGTGTTATTAAGTCTGCTTTGCTTTTGCGTACCACTTTGCATAGCACATGGTACTAATTATCCTCAGAGACTACTTTTTTACTACAGACAATGACACACAGATAGTATGGCACACAAATTTAATTCAAATATAAAAATACAATTATTGATTTAACACAGCGGTCTTCAAACTTTTACGACTTGTGGAACCCTGCCAACCCTTCGACTTTTTTTGAGGAACTGCCATACCTAACAAAATTTTTTGAACACATTTTTTACTTATAAATACTACGATTAACAAAATAAATATTCCACTAAGAAAAAATTATAGACTTTAAAGTCTAAAGTAAATATTTATTGAGTAATTAAAAAAAGAGTATCTAAGTATAATCAGAAACTGGGATGAGCTTGAATATTTTTACATGATATGTTAAAATCAGGTGGTTTTGTCGTAAGATGCAATCGCATTTCAAATTCTGCCTTAAACGCATTGCGATACTTTGTTTTTGTCGCTACGTACGTGGAAAATGATTTTTCGCACAGGTACGTAGTTGCAAAAGGCATTAATACATTTATTGCCTGGTCAGCAATTTCCGGATATTCCTTATAAATCTCTAGGTAAAAATCAAGGGAAAGGCGACGTAACCAACGAGAAGAACGCTGCGCCAGCTAATAAGTTAAAAGCCGACTTACTTGCCTTGCATAAATAGATAAAACTCTTATAGTAACTTAAATGCGTGTACTTATAAAAATAAAAAGGTTTAAGAGTATAAATATTTTTTTGAATTTTGAAATTATCTATAATAAAATTTGAAATTTCGTCACGGAACCCCCAGAGAGATTGTGCAGGACCCCAGGGTTCATAGGGACACAGCTTGAATACCGCTGATTTAATATAAGTCACAGGCTTTGGCGAAATATGAAAATGAATATGTAATATAGTAATGCTAATACTTCATTTATACGAGCATAACTAAATATATTATTACAAAATATTATTTTATTTAGAATAAAAATTCAAAAATTATTGTGAACCTGTCAAACAAGAATTAAGAGATTACTTGTTTCAAAGATTATTGTGGTGCACTCTTCGAGATTGTAGTTATTAAGTGTGTTCCGATAATAATAAGGAGATTCTTTAGATCATTTTAAGTTTTAGGGGTACTTACACACATCTGGGAAAATATCTTAAAAGACGTTTGACCTAAACTAATGAAGTTTGGACGTAAAAGATGTAACTGCGATTCATCTAGTGGCCATTGAATATACAGAGTCCAAAAAATGACAAGAATGCGATTATATGTACCATGAAAGTGCCAGTGATGCCCTTACGAGGGAAGTTTTAAGTGATGACTTTACAGGAAACTACTTCACGGGCTATACGTCTCGACTAGCATTAGATTACACCATCAATATCATTAAATATAGCTGGGATCGTTTGTCGTCAGAACACACCAGACATACCGGTTTCAGGCGCGATAACCAACGATTGATCCAGCTGCTTTGGCTCTTTTTTATTCCTTAAAGCCAGGAATGGAGGAAGCATATAAGATATAATTAAATATTACATTTAGTAACAACTGCTGTATACATATACATATATGATTAAAAATATTTTTTAAGTAAATACTTTTTGATATTCAATTTGAATTTATATAAACTTAAATCTTTTACTTCTTTCAGGTAAGTCATTATAAAGATTTAACCGTAGATTTAATATCAGTTAAAATCGAGGCAGACGCAAATAACTAGAGTTTTTTTCACAAAGAAGCAACGTGAGACGATTAACATAAGTATGATCAAGGAGGGTCAAATCCAACAAATCAGTTGCAGAACTATTTGTAATATTATAGTTAGTGGAAAAAATTATGGGTTGAGTATGATCTAAATTTAATTTAAGATCATTATTTACAAACCACTTATTGGTTTTGTTTTTATTTAACTGAGCATTACAAAGATACTACATTTTAATTACTACAATTTTACTATGTGTCATCATCATAAATGATACATTTTTCCGGATACTTACAAGAAACACAGTTAATCATATAATTTTTGGAAAACAGGAGTCCTAAAAGAGAATCTTGGGGCACACCATTCTTTATTACATTTTCTAGAAGTAACATAAGATTTTAAGAAGTTTAATGGCAGGCCTCTAATGTTATATATAAAAAGTTTCTTAATAAGAAGGTCACGAGAGATGCAATCAAAGATCTTCCTAAGGTCGCATAAGGTTTGCAGACTTTCAACCACATAACTTACTACTTTGGAGACAGCATTCACCTTTGAGACAATTCCCTAAAGCCGAACTGGTCACTGATTCGAAGCGAAATATCTTGTCAGGCTCTTCTTAATTATTATTTCAAATATTTTCCAAGAAAAAAAATGACATGACGGAATGGAAATAGGACGATAGTTTGGAAATTTACATAACCGTTTTTAAAAATTAGAACCACCTTAGTGAGTTTAATAGATAGATACTGGGAAATACCCCAAAACACCTCATATAAGAGTCCTAGAACAAAAGTAGGTTTTACGAAATTTTTCTCTCAGTGTATATCAGCTCGTGGTCCTCTGACAGTACCACGCATACACCTGTTGCTCCTCGGAGCCGGCTTTGGAATTATTGGTGTGTATTTAGGCTAGTGCGATCGTCCGTGCTTTCGCTGAACCGACATTTTTCACATGTACCTACTTAGGCCGTGAAATTGAAGCAATGCCGCGCCGGAGGACAGTCTTCTGCGGTTATTTCGACGGCGAGATTTGCGACTGGTGGTTTCCGCAATCGGAATGCTTTCGCTGCTTGCATGTTTTATTTCCCACACTGTGCTGTCTTTATCCATCGCAGTATCATGTGCGGTGAAATTAGAGACAAAATTACATCTTTCAGTAATGTATTCGAAAGAGAAATTGTGCACTATGATATTCTTTCATATGCTGGGTGTCGCGAAGAACATAACGCAAAATTCGCTTAATGGTAATGGAACTCTCTAAAATAAAAAATATTACGTAAAGATAAGATTTCAAGATATTCCATGTTCAAGTTGAAATTCTTGGAAAAAAACTTTCAAATATGTGTAAATTTTTATTGTTGACAAAAGTAAGTTGAATCAAAATCATTCAATGGCGGATAAAACTGGTTCGCTTAGGTGGAATTTCGTTTCATAGTTCTTGGCGTGGTATTTTTTCTCTTATTTAACAGCAGAACTTTAAAATTTGTATGTATTGGTCTTTTACACAAAAAGGTATTTTATAGAAAATTCCCGTTTTCGAGCATAAATGATTAAAAACTTGTTAGTATTACGAAATCGTACACATAACCAGATTACATTTTTTTATTAGGCAACAATTAAATAAGACGTTTTGTGCGCAAAAAAGTTTGAAAAATGTATATTTTCAACGGGGAAGGTTAATTTAGATTTCTAATATTATTCTCAAACAGCTGAAACACAACGAATTCTTACTCTTCCACTGACCAATAGATCCCTCAAAGTAACGTATTTTAATATGTTCAAGTAAGAGACCCTCAAGGGTTCCTATTATGAGATGGTCTCATATTAGGACCTATAGCAGTGATTTTATAGAACAATTTTTCAGGCAAATTTCCCTAAAAGTTATGGGCTACAAAACAGCAGCGAAACATTTTAGTGTTCCAAAGAGTACCCTTGAATATTATGTTAAAAACATTTTTTTTGCCCTAAGCAACGTTAGAAAGCCTACTCTGGGTAAATATATCGAAGATAAGATGAGTTAGTTCAATACTACGCTGAAGGGAGACCTACAGTCACTGAAGAGACTTCAAATTATCCACGTCTAAAAATTTCAAATGATTCTATTGACACTGAAGATGCTACAAATCATCCACGTCCGGGAACTTTAAAAGATTCCAGTGATACTGAAGATGCCCCAAAATCACGTCCTGGAAAGTCAAAAACGCATGTGGTGTAAGTGTAGCTTTTATTATGCCATCTCCATATATATATTTAACAATGAGTTTAGAAACGTAAAAATGAAGATTCCACAGAAAACAGTGAAGTTGTAACAGTGACAAAGAAGTTCAAATTTAATTATATATTATAATATTATAAAAAACTGAAAAATCAGTGGATGCTAAGCAGTTAAAAAAAGGAGAAAGTTAATTTAAATGGTAGTTCGACTGATGAGAGTGACATGAAAGTTGTTTTTGATGATAACAGTGATGGCGAGGAAAACTATGACGCAGAATGTGTCGTTTGCACAGTAGGTTAAATGCACAGTCTTTCACTGATGGGCCCATGAGAATTGTGGTGCAGATCATGAAGCTTTTGCCCAATATACAAAAAAGTTAGGGAAAATAATTTACAATGACTTATTATCTTGCATTTTAAGTCGTTAAAATAATGCTACTTGAAATATATATATATATGTACGTATTCTTTTCAGTTACGTATACTATTTGTGTTATATTATTATTATAATTATTATTTTAATAAAATTAATTGCAAAAATTTGATTTTATTATTTGTTTGTCAAAATAGACAAACATGATTATTCAATAAAACTATTAACATTTGAAAAATTTCTCTTTATGTGAGTAAGTACATCCATAATTGGTACCTAACTTCATTTTATAAATGTAACATTCTGTATATCATCGTATTATTGAATTTCTTGTTAAATTTAAGGCCTACTTCGATAAAAGATATTGAATCAAAAACGTACCATTTCGGTGTTATTTGATGTTTTCTGAATAAATTGAAGTTCGCTACGTACTCTGAAAAATATCAAATATCTCTAAAAATAAACAACTAATAGATATTCCAAGTTTTTCATATTCTTTGTACAGTAGTTCCAGCGTTAAAAAATGATTGTCACATAATAGCACTGTTTCCTAACCAAAATAATAAAATAAATTATTTTTTAAATCAACATTTTCCATATAAATGGATTGGATAAAATTTTTAACCAACTAGCTGGTCAACTAGATTTATCGGTCGATCTCTTATTTGTGTCTGAAATTCTTCCTAGTTTAGATGAAAATTTTTGGAAATGATTGTGCTAGGCGAAATGGCAAAACATTTTGAATAATTATTATTGCAGATCTTTTTATGTTCTCCTAATAATTTTGTGTTTTCTTTTTATTAATAATTTTATAATTGGTGCTCATTTTTAAGGCCATGTGCTGACTTAATGTGATTATGTTCATATTAAAATTACAAGAAGTTTATTCGCACATTTTTGTATCTATTTTTTTTTTTAATGTACCTACTAACTTTTACATTAAATGCTGCCCAAACGTCATTGTCTTATTTCATTTTTGTTTCAAAATTATTATATTGCATTCATATTTTAACATGGAGATAGCAACAAAAATATAAAAAATCATGAGTATCTCAAAAACTGTAAGAAATAGACTCTAATATGTCTTAACAGGACTGAAGGCAGTATGTCTGTATCCAATCTAATATAGGGTTCCTTTTAAAATTTCCAAAGTTTGTTAAGTTATGTAGAAGATAGGATTTTTGATTCTTGAACAAGTGGTTAGAATCACAATTTGTTATCATGTTTAGTTCTGAAGACATTTGGTATTTTCGTGAACACTCCAAATGCTATTTTTTTAAGAACGTCAAATAACACCAAAGCGGTAATTTGTGAAAGCGAAGTTACGTGACAGTCAGGAAAAATGGGACACCGTATAGAACTGAAGATAATTTCAAAATATGCTGCAACTTTTATTCGAAACAGTTTTCTGTATTACTCATATTTTGGAATAATTTGTCACAAAAACGACATATCATATCATATCAGTTTCATATCAGTTTCATCTTCAGTAGGTCTTCATTTGTAGTCATTAAGATTTTGCTGAAATTAGATTTCTATCTGTTTAAAATGAGTTGGACGAAAATTCAACCTATATGTTCTAGGCCTACACAATGGTAATTTTAGCACATGTTAAATATGCTTATTTCGTTTCAGTTTCAGAAGAAATCCAGGTCACATAGTTTTGTTAATTTGTGTTTTATTGTATTTAGTTTTAATTCATAAGGTCAGAATTTGGCTGCGTCATGCTCTAGTAGAAAATACCTACATACTTTTAACTTTCTCTATTTTCGTCTGAATACATTTAAATTAAAAACGATATATATTCCTTGAATACGAAGAAACAATTTTCGACGTTATCAAATACATCAAAAAGACAAAGTTACACCTTTAGACAGAGACAAGACTACTGACAATTTGTGTGGGTATTTCGGAATATTTTATTGTATGAAAATAGGATTTCAGGATTTGGCAGCACCCTTTTTATAAAGACTTATTATTCCAGAATATTTTATTGTGTACCGTGTAATGAACAGTGCATACTTGGGTGTAAAGTGAGGTCAAGTTCATTAAAATCGATTCAGAAATGAAGGTGGAGACGTAAACAAATTTAATCATTCCGGTTCGGAATTCTACCCACAAGTTTAATAAATTTTCAAATTCTTCAAAAGTAAACGGCTGACAGGATTGGTTTTGGATGAAATTTTTCACAATCTTATTAAATATTCATTTATATATTTTACAAGA